CAGCAAGACAATGAGCCCAAACACAAAGCCAAGGAAACTCTCAGTTGGTTTCAGAGAAGCTGCTGGAATGGCCCAGCCAATCACCTGACCTGAATCCAACAGAAAATCTATGGAAAGAACTAAAGATCAGAGGAGGTCCACGAAACCTTCAAGATTTGAAGACTGTTTGTGGAAGAATGGGCCAAAATCACACCTGAGCAATGCATGCCACTAGTTTCTCCATACAGGAGGCATCTTGAAGCTGTCATTGCCAACAAAGGCTTTTGGACAAAGTATTAGATACATTTCAGTAAGTGTATTCAATACTTTTTCCCTGTGCCATTCCACATTATTACAAATAACTTCATTTCTGGACATTTATGGTTTGATTTCTTTGTATGTATGGATCACTTGGGTTGTTACTGACATCTGGTGAAAATTTCATGTCATTATGATGATGTGTTCAATACTTATTTTCCCCGCTGTATGTAAAGAGAGAAATCAGTAAGGGAGCAAACACTGTTTCACACCACTGTATGGTGCACAGAAACCAGTGTCTCCGTCTAAAGACACAGGTCTTATATGAGGACAGGTCTCAGAACGATGCTGTTCTGTCAGTACTGTTGGTTTTTTAACACACCTGTTGACCAGTCGTCACCATAAAGTCCAGCTCCATCAATGGGAAGGTGTTCGAGTGGAGCATCATCTCCAGGAGGAGCTGCTTCAGAGCTGGTGTCCGCTACTATGTCAGAGGTAACTGTTCTACATCACGCCTCGGTTCTGATGCGCGTTTTGATGCAGTTTTATTTTAACTTGACCATAAGTGAATGATTTAGACGTGAAAAAGAAGGATTTAAAAGCATGATATGATACCTTTTAATGTTCTGAGTCCAACACAGCTTCTCGTCCATACGTTCTGTGTCCGTCTCTACCACGTTATTTGATGTCCTGAATGTTGCTCAGGCCATTTAAACCGGTATACAGATAATTCCTAWAAATAAAAATGACATTTTTCTGTATGAACCTGTACCAGCTCTACTGTGTGTGATTTACTTCAGGATTCATTTACAGCAGATTGTGAACCTAGAACCAGTTTCAGGCTAACTGTTAAMATGGGATCAGCTGATTGTTTTTCAATACAAACACTTATTGAAAGGTTCAAATTCTTCTTACCGCAGGCATCGACTCAGAGGGTCACGCTGCAAACTTTGTGGAAACAGAGCAGATCCTGCAGTACAACAGCTTCACTGCTTCATTTGTTCAGGTGAGCCCAACAGTGAAGATTTAGTTTGATTTTAGGATCATAAATCGATTTAAATAACGTTTTAAAGGGAAAAAAATAGGTAATAGGAAATTATTATAGCAACATTTCTAATATTGTATCAGGGTTTTTTTTATTATAAGCAGACTTTTGATAAACGTGTTTTTAGAATTCTTATTATTTTAATTTATAATAAACAGAAGAACTCTGCTCCTRCTGACAGAAACTGGTTCTTCTCTGCATGTTTCATCTTTAAAGGATTTGTAAACTGCTCTGTTTTAAAGACATGAAGTGAATCACTTCAAGTGATCAGAGGGTGTTTCTGAAGTTAAACATTTAAAATATACTAATTAAAAGTTTGTGCTTTAAAGTTTAAACCATGTTTTTCATGTTATAGTATCTAAACTCTCATTGTGAGTTCTAACCAAATGTTAATTTTGCTTTTAGACCAGAGGATCGATCCCCTTCTACTGGTCCCAAAGACCCAATCTGAAGTACAAACCAAAACCCCAGATCAGCAAAACATTCAACCATGTCAGTTTCTACTCTGCTGTCTGACTGAGTTAATTTTATTTTGTATTTATCTCACATAGTTTCTGGTTTTCTTCTTAGTTAGATGGATTTCAGAGACACTTCGACTCGCAGGCTGTTCTCTATGGAAGACAAGTTGTGTTAAACTTGGTAAGAAACCTGATCCGGCTCAGATTTGGTCTGAAAACCTTTTATCAAACACGTGCTCTTATAGCATTTATTTTATTATTTGTTTCAGATCAATCAGAAAGGCTCTGAAAAACCTCTGGAGCTAGCTTTTGAAAAAATGGTGTCCAGTTTGGGTAACGGCATGATAAAGTGAGATTTCCACCATTTCTTCTGTTTCTGAACCATCATCCTGTTTTTACTGAGCGCTTTGTTTCTGCAGGTACGTAGCGTTTGACTTCCATAAGGAGTGCAGCCGGATGAGGTGGCACCGCCTTCAGCTCCTGCTGGACATGGTCTCAGAGGTCCAGGATGAGTTTGGGTCAGTACTCTGTTCTTGTGTGTGTGTGTGTGTGTGTGTGTGTGTGTGTGTGTGTGTGTGTGTGTGTGTGTCTGTAATCAGCTAGTTTTCTCTTCAAAGTGACTGTGTCTGTGGTTTCAGGTACTTCCTGGTGGATGCTGATGGGAAGGTGCTGCTGAGCCAGGAGGGAATATTTCGGAGCAACTGCATGGACTGCCTGGACCGGACTAATGTTATCCAGAGTCTCCTGGGCCGCCGCTCGCTGCAGTCCCAGCTGCAGGTGCAACACCTGACTCTGACTAAAACAGCTCTGAAACCAGAAATATTTAACTAACAGAGAGTTCCTGTGCAAGAATTCACTTTTTTATCATTTTAGTTTTCAGGTCTGCTGAGATTTTTGTTAGATTTTTTTATCATCTTCCTCCTCATCTTCATCAGTTCATTTTTATTCAAAAAGTGAAACTGTTTAGTTTGTTTCTACTTTTAACCAAACCACCTTTTTTGCACATTTCCTAACATTTTGTTCTTTGTTAGAACTGTCCTCCTGTAGCTCAGCTGCTGTAATATTATTTAATTCACTTCTGCAGTTTAACGGGTTGAACTGATACTTAGACTGAATCAGGACCCACAGGTCCGAGTTAGTGGGCTGACTGAAAAACCAGCTGAGCCTCCAGAGAGTCCGTAGACTCAGACTTCAGTCCAGAATCTAATTAATGAGTTAAACACATAAACACCAGTGAGTTGATAGATGAAGACACATGCTGTGATCAGACTGTGTTTTTGTGTAGGTGTGCATATTTTAATATAAAACAACTGCAAACATATTTGTGTGTGAAAGCTTGACTTTAGTGACACAGATTAATCTGATGGATTTACCACCTCTAACCCCCCACCCCCCGGTACCACTCCTGATTCAAAACCCTCCAGGCGTCGACAGTTAAACTAAGATAAAATAGATAAATAAGATATTATAACGGTTGTTTCCTCTTGGTGTGTTTACAGAGGGTTGGGGTTCTCCACGCAGGCCAGAAGGTTGAAGAGCAGGCAGAGTTTGAAAAGCTGTACAAGAACGGTGAGAGTACTTTTTGATCCTAATCACTCTCAGTAACGTCTAACGCTCCTCTGGGCTTCATCAGCTGGAATATTTGTTTTGTTGATGTTTTGAATACACTCCAATCTCTAAATGGCTCACATGCATTTGACAAATATAAGATAAATATGGATTTCTTGAAAATGCATGCCAACACTTTTTTACCATTGTTTCATCATTTGCTTAATTTATGTATTGTGCAGTCTATTTTCCCTGATGCCTGGAAGTTTGCTCAGATTACTCCCATTTTTAAATCTGGTGATCCAACAGAAGTTTCAAACTATCGACCAATTTCTGTTCTTCCTATTTTTTCTAAGTTACTTGAAAAAGCATTATTTAATCATCTACTTCAGCATCTAGAAGTTAATAATATGCTAAGCAATAGCCAACATGGTTTCCACACGTCAAGGTCAACCATGTCTGCATTAATTTTATTCACTGAACAAATACGTGCTGCTTTGAACAAAGGTCAAGTAACTGGTGCTGTATATATTGATTTTCGTAAAGCGTTTGACACAGTTGATCATTATACTCTCTTACAAAAGTTGATTTCTTTTCAACTTTTATCATCTGCAATACAAATGTTTTCCTCTTATTTGACTGATAGGTGTCAGGTTGTGAAACATGGAAGCTCTGTGTCCGGGTCTCTGCCCTGTTCCGTGGGAGTTCCACAGGGTAGCATACTGGGCCCATTGCTTTTCCTATTATACATAAATGACCTTCCAAAAATATTGAAGTATTCAAATATTTTAATGTATGCTGATGATACTGTTCTTTTTTTTTTTTTGTCTGATTTCAATATTGAATCTATTAATAGTCAGTTACAAGCAGATCTTCAGATATTTCATGATTGGCTTCAAGATAATCTGTCAGTTAATGTTAAAAAAACTGTGTGCATGTATTTTTCCTCACCCAGGAGACATTTCAATAAAACAAATCAACTCACTTTTTTAAACAAACCCCTTGATATTGTCACTACCTACAAATATCTTGGAATTACTTTGGATTCTCATTTGACTTATCGTGATCATGTACAAGTCTTAACCACTAAGTTGAAACAGAAATTATACATTTATTCAAAAATTAGATCCAATCTGACATCTTCTGTTTCAAATATCTATCTTCATGCCATTGTACTCTCAACCATGTCGTACTGTTTACCTGTTTGGTCTCTTACAACAAATGAAATCTTAGAACCCATAGTTAGGCTCTACAACAGGGCCTACACAATTCATAAAAAACTTCCTGGTTGGACTCATCACTGTACAGTTCTTTCATTGTCTGATGCCTTGACTTTTCAGAATTATGTTTTGTATAGTGGTATTAATTTATATTTTCAGATCTTCCAAGGTGCCAATTATGGAACTCTCTGTGCATTGTTGCCCAAATCAAATTCTGGAAGTGGTCATTCAACTAGATCTGTTACAAAAGGACAACTGATATTACCAACTTTTAAAAACTGTTACGGTCAGAGGTCTTTCTTCTATGTTTATACTAAAGCATGGAACGACATTCCTCAAAACATAAAGTCCATTTCAAAACTACAGTCCTTTAAGAAGAATCTTGTCTGCCATCTGCTGGACACTTTTTGTTGTGCTCATATTTAGACATCCTATTTTGCAAATGCTGCCTTCCTGAAATTTGGTATGCTTGTTTGTCTTTGTGTCTATGGTGTATAATGATGTGATTGAGTGTTTTATGTGCTGCAGAACATGAACCTGCTGTAAAACAGCAATTATGCTGAGTCAGGCTTGATTTTTAGTAATCTTTTCCTGTTAAATCAATAAATCAAATCAAATCAATTTTGGATATGAGTGTCCTAAAGGGGAAAAAATGATGATTCCTCTAAAATGATAGTGAAACAAAGAAGTTGCTGATTTAAAATAAACCCTGAATTGTTAAGTTGTGAAGATAATTTAACTTTTAAATAAATAAAGTGCAGTAAGAGAGGAGGGTCTTGAGGTCAATAAAACAAAAACGAATTAAATCATGACTTCTTCATGGCCCTATATAAAACTGATTTAAGTGGTGAACAGTAACAAAGACAAATTTAACTATTCTTGTCAAAAATAAAAGAAACATCGCAAAGTGTGATTATATTTTTAATGACTGAGATTAAAAATTCTGGTTTTAATGAGTTTCTTTGTCTTCAAATGACTAAATATAATAAATTGGACATCTGATGCATTAAAGTCAGTGATTTGATGGTGATTAAAATAACACTAGCATGTGTTAAATGAAAAATAACTCATTTAATTTAATGGAATAAAATACAAATCCTCAAGATGATCAAATGTTTGATGGTTTTAAGCAGGTCTGTAGAAAAATCTAAAATCTTTTAAAGAAAGATTTTGTTCCAGGTGCACTAACAGCTAAAATAATCAAACTAAGAGGAGAGATGAGCAAAACAATCCTTACTGATGCAGGAATGTTGGTTATTTTCACTCAGACGAAGCTCCTAGTCTTTAATACTGATGGGCCAAAACATTATGACCACTGAACCATATGAAATGATTTCTTTGCAGTGGGAAACCAGTTTTAAACACCTGAGGAGTGGATTTACATGTTCTAACATGAACAAACACTTCTATATCAGACTGAGACATGTCATGTGACCATCATATGTGAAAGAGACACTTTTACATTTTATCCTGTAAATAATTACATTTCTGTTAAAGCTGGGGCTAACGGATGAACTGGTTATAATGTTTTGGCTTGGTGGTTTCTGGTGTTTCCCTTCAGCCTGGGCAGATAACGCTGACGCTTGTGCCAAGCAGTACGCAGGTACCGGGGCCTTGAAGACGGACTTCACCAGGTCAGTTTTCAGTCCGGTTCTGTTTCTGGTCACGCAGAGTCTGAATAAAATCTGCTTTTGGTTCTATTTTCATGTTAGAGTTAAAATCTTCACAATTAGATCAGGATTCAGAGAAATGTGATGTTTACAAAACTATTACTTATGTTTATCTGGGAACTTAAATAGATATTTCTTATTTTCAATGAATAAACACTGATTTAAATCATTTAATGCTTAATAAATTGAACACAATAACATGTTGGTGTTGAACCACAGGACGGGGAAGAGGACTGTGTTTGGTGCTCTAATGGACGGCTGGAACTCCACGATCCGATATTACAAAAACAACTTCTCAGATGGCTTCAGGCAGGTGAGTCCAGACAGTTTGAGTCATTTCTAAAGATAAATAACTGGAGTTCATTTATATTTGATCTGTTAGACTCTAATCAGTAACAGTATAAATTAGGGGTGCAACGATACAGAAAATTCATAGTTCGATTCGATACTTAAGTCTCACAGTTTGATATTTTTTCGATACAAAAAAGAGAAATGTCCATGCCCTTCTTAACTTGTAATTTATTGAAATTAATTATGAACAGTTGTTTAACCTCAAAAGCACAGTTTTTTAATTAAATGTTGTTGAAAAAGCAAGTTTCTCAGTGGATCTGCGCTCGACAGTGCAGCCTAGGGGGAGTAGTCGAACACAGATCTACTCAGCCTTCAAAACAGAACATCTTCAGAAGACAAGTTGATAAAATAAACTTTAAAGATTAGTATTACTCAATACATATTGTGTACTGAACGGTTCAATACAGGTACATGTATTGTTGCAGTCCTAATATTTACCCATAAAGCACAGCTCCATGTTTACAGTAAACCAAACATATGAGCACCATCAGCTCCTCCCAGCTGCGACCAAAGGTTCTTGATTCAAGAATCATTTGATGTTAGATTTCAGTCACTTTAGAACTTGGTAAAGATCAGATCATATTTTTTTCCTGATGTGTAGAGCCACTGGACTGAAAGGTCTTGGTTTTCATCAGGACTCTGGTCTGTGTTTTGATGCAGGACTCTATAGACCTGTTCCTGGGGAACTATTCTGTGGATGAAACTGATTGGATCACTCCGCTTCGTGACACCAAGGACTGGAAGTTTTTAACGGTAAAAAACAAACAGTCAAAACATTTTAGTTGTTTTTCCCTCATGTATTTATTGACTTTTTGTTTTTATTTTTAGTTGCCCATCATCATGGTCGTAGCTTTCTCCATGTGCATCATCTGCTTACTGATGGCTGGTAAGACTGACTCCTCTGGTTCTGCTCCAGACCTGGTACTGTTATCGGGTCACTCTTCAGTTCTGTGAAGGAGTTTATTTAAACTCAGGATTGTTTGACGAATGTTTACAACTGATTAACTTCTGGAGTCCTTTCAAGATGGCCGCCATTCAGTTTTACAGATATTAACTTACAGTTTGATGTGGTAGTAGCTGAGAGTCGGTCATAACTTTCACTAAAACTCTGGCATGAAAAGGGAAGAGAACAAACATTTAATATTGTTTAAGTTATTCAGCTTTAAAGTATATAAAATCTATAAAAGACAAAGTAAATAAGGTGAGACCTCCTGTGTTCTGCAGGTGAAACCTGGACCGAGACCCTGGCCTACGTCCTGTTCTGGGGGACCTCCAGCATTCTGACAGGTGGCTTTATCCTCTTTAATGGACGGGACTTTGTAGATGCTCCAAAGCTGGTCCAGAAGGAGAAGCTGGACTGAATGTGTGCGTGTGGAAAGCAGCTCGGCCCGAGAGAACTGATCGCCTCCTCCTCTGCTTCGGTTCCGCCCCAGCATCATCATCGTCAGCAGGCCTGGAGCCTTTACTGAAGCAGCAGAGGAGGGTGATGGGTAACAGGGACTGGAGGCGCTGGGGCCTGCTGCTGTCCACACGGTACCGACTGAAGAACTGTTCACAGGGTTTACCTGAGACCGGACCTCTGGAGTTCATTCAGAACCACGTTCTACTGGATTGGATGCTTCATCATCTTTATAACTCTGACCCTTAACAACCTGTGTGACAGCACACCTGTACATACACCTGTTCACACATCTGTACACACCTGTACATACACTTACATACACCTGTTCACATGTACATTAATGTTCACAGCTTGGATTTTTCGTCAGTATTTAGTCTCTTTATAAATGTATTTACAGAACATAAAGAACCGGTTCTGACGGTTCCAAACGTTGGGTGTTGCATTCTTCTGACAGTCAGTGTATCACTGCACGTCCTTTCAGAGGAACAGTTTTTATTCAGCAGCTGGAGGAAGAAGAAATAATAATAAAAAGAAAAGGTCCATTTGTGTTGGTACTGACGTCTGTAGAACCTCCTGATACCAGCTTCACGTGAGCTCACATGCACTTTATGTCCAGCAGGACATATCTGTCCCTCTGTGGACAGGTTGAGCTCTAAATTAACTTGTCTGACTGCACAACTGGCGACGTCCAACACTGTCCCCCAGATCTATCCGTCCATAAGACAGTCCACAGNTCCATCTGTAAGACAGTCCACAGGAAGTTGTCCTGTCTGTCCATCTGTAAGACAATCCACAGTATTTCAACTGTTCCCTCTCCAGCGATGCCATCCTCCTCCATCTCACTCTGTCCTCTGTGTCCTCACTTCAACTACCTCCATGTCCTCTAACTGCATCATATGTCTCCTGATTGCTGCGTCTCTAACATCCTTTAATTATTAAATCTAAAGATGAATCTAACCTGTTACTGTGAGCTGATGATGCTTTACATTTCTTATCTAGCTTTGACCTGGTTTTGGCCAGTACTACTTTTTTCCCCCAGGAACTACTGTATATTTACCACACCACAGTTTATTCCTTTTTAAATTTGTGTTAAAATAAAATAAATAAAAGTATTCTGGTATAACAGTGAAGCATGGGCAGTGATAAGATATCAAATGTTTGAAGAGTCTAATGGTGCTTTTTCTGACACAACACCTACAGGATTTAGACTTTTCTTATGTAGATAAAGTTTTCCAACACTTTAGAAACACAGAGGGCACCCATGATGCGTCTTAGAGCCGTGATGGTTCAGATTGGTTTGATCAGTTTTACAGAAGTCTAGTTTAGTAAATTCTTGTTTTAAATAGTCTCAACTCTGAAGCATGCACACAACTGCTAGCTAGAGGTGATTTAATGTCCTGATGGCAGCAAACTGGATTCCTAGATTAGCATGACGTCCAACACTGCAGGGAATAACACCTAAGAACTAACACACAGGTTTTCTTACAGCGGTCAAGACCCAGGCTGTGGCTCCCTTTGTGGTCTCCTCGTCTCCAGCAGCTCCCTCTCTGGTGTCTTTGCTTACTGCAGATCCTAGTGTGATATTTTGTCTGCAGCAGCTCCTTTGCCATCAGCTCCCCCAGTGTCATTCATTGTGTTTTCTAGGCCTACAGTCCTTGAAGCCCACATTTCTGGGCCCTCAGCAAGGTCTGTTGTAATACACCTCCACATAAGCTAAGATAAACCTTTATTGTCATTGTACAGAGCATAATGAACATACATACATCCCTTTCTGGTTTGTCTACTCTATCCCCATCCTCTTCGTCTGGTCCATCAGCTCCATCTTCATCTCCTGTGTCCTCTGTTCATGAGTTCCCTGATGTCCATCCTGCGTCACCAACCTCTGGTTCTACAGCTTCCTCTGGTCCACCTACACTCCCATCTGAATCTGTTCCTCCTGCGCTTTCTTGTACAACTATCTGGTCCCTCTCCGGCTGGTTTATCATCACCATCCTCCTTGCCGGTTCCAATTTCTTTAAAGGTTCTTGCTTCCAGCCTCTCATGATGTACCAACCGCCTCGTCTGGTCCTGAGTCTCCAGGTTCTTCTGCAGCATCATCTGTTCTTGTTCTCTCACCTTCTGTGACGTCTGCACCAGAGCCCATGTCAGCAGCACTGCAAGGAGGCTTCTTAATGCTTCTCCTCCCGACCCCTTGCCTGAAATGTGGCCATGGTCTGGACACTCTCCAGGCCACCCACAAGAACAATATACCCATGCAGGTCGGATCCACTAGTTCTTTGTTATAAATAAGCTGACTGGCATTTGTGTTTAGTTTTCCCAGGTACTCCTGCCCGTTTTTATTTATTGATCTTTCTGTTTTTGTTTCTTGTCTTCCTTCCTTTGAGTTTCCCCACCCGAGTTTGGCAGTTTTGTTTTGAACATTGGGGCCGTCCTTTAAGAGGAGGGTACTGTCAGAGTTTGTAGCTTTTTAGGGTTATTTTCTTTGTGAATTTTAGTATTTTCTTATTCATTCTGGTCTTTTGTTAGATTATCCTGTGTTCTCTGTGCCATTTCTTATTCTCCCTCAGTTAGTTTTCTCTAAGTCATGTTGTCACCCTCACCTGTCTATAATCTGTAGTCAGCCTGCTGCACAGGTGCTGTCCATTATCATTCCTCCCTCACTGGATTTAACCAGTCTCTCGTCACCACTTTCTTGTCCATTTATTATATGGCTTCTGCTGTCATCTTATCTTCCAAGTTTATTGTAAGTTCTGCCGCCACATCGGCATTTTTTTTTTCTTTTAATAAATTTTTGATTTTTGTCAAGCTCCTCGTGCCGGCCTGCATACTGGGTCCAACCCCTCAATGACCTTGACAGGACCCTCTGGCTTGGCTTTACAGAAAATAAAGGCATAAAACAAGAGAAGAAGGTGGTAGATGGGTTAACCCCAACCATGACTAGCTGTGATGGGGCAGAAACGTTAATGTCACAGAGGAGGGAGGTCAGGTCTGCAGAGCCATCAGATCAAAACAGCTGCTTCAAAAATCCCTCCAAAGTTTGATCAATTGCAGCAGATCTGATGTCCTGCACCAGGTTCACTTTGAGGTATCAGTGGAGATGCAGTGGTTTGTCACAGCTGAGCCACCCATTTATTTGTCTTATCTCTTTGTTCATTAAATTTAGATCTCAGTTCAAACAAAAGTTCAGCAGTGTGCTTTGAAGGGAAATGATCATATTCAGTTTGTAGTTTATTCTGTTCACAAGTTGTTTGTAAAGAAACTCAAAGATATTGCACTCAGATAATCTGTTTAGTTTCTCTCTTCTAGAKTGTCTCTTGAAACTTAAATTACTTCCTCCCTCTGCTGTCCTACTAGCCTGAAATAACTGGTTCATTTAGAGGAACGGTGGAAAGACATCAGCAATGACCTCAGAGAGGCAAATGTTGCTGCTCAGTCTGGTAAAGGTTAAATATCATTTATAAACAATATGAATCCATCGTTCTACAGAAAGGAAAATATTTGCAGTCATTACAGACAGCTGTTAATCTTCTCAGAAGTGAACGTCCAAGCTAATTCACCCTGAGGTCAAATAAACCTGTCAGTTTCACTGTTATTCTCTGTATATGCAGCTTTATATACGTTTTAATTATTTTAGTACTGATTATGAAATCATAAGTCATCATGTCTTCATTTAAACTGACTTTAGTGTCTTGTTTATTGACTCATTCTGTCATATTAAACCATCTCAGTTTGACCTCTGAACACCTATAAAGCTGTTAGATCATTAGAGGAACCCTTATCTTAGTTCCCACTTTACTTGATCTACATTTGAACTTGTGATCCACTTCCTATTTGTTACTGTAAAAAACAGCTGCTTAGCTCTTTGTGTACCGGCGAACATGGGCATGGACCACCTTTCAGCTGCTCCCTTCTGCAGGGGTCTCCACAGTGATTTGGTTTTTGGTTCACACCAGATGATCTGATGTAAGCTGGACTCAAACCTGCAGCCTCAGAATGACCCAGACCATCGAGCTGCCACATTCTAGTAGTGATGATGTAAAAACAGCACAATGTCCCCCATCCATCCCCTACAGCAGGGATAGTCAATTCTGGTCCTCGAGGGCTGGCTGCAGCCCTGCTTACTTGTTTCTCTGCTCCAACACACCTGATTTGAATGAATGGATGATTTTCAGCCTTCTGCAGAACTTTAATTTTATGAGATTTGTGGGGGKTTTTTGTATTGAAATTTTTGTTTTTAATTGAAATGAATAAACTGAACTAAACTTGGAAGAGGTAATTCACTGACTGAAACAGGTGTGTTAGAGAAGGGAAAAAAGTAAAGAATAGAATAGAAATAGCCTTCAGTGTCCCGCAGAGGGGAAACTCAGGTGTCACAGCAGCATTCGTACAGAGGTTCACACAGTTACTTTACAAACTATAGATAGTGTACACAAAACAAAAATTAACACTGACTAGCAACGATACGACTACTAATAATAAAAAATACAAATGAAGATTTGTGCAAGGATGGTAAAAGATATGTTTTGTTTTGGAGACAGTAGACTATCAGAATCTGACATTAGGAATCAGAAATTGCATGTTTTCTGTGCAAAACAATCTCAACAGACCAATAACTGTAAAGTGAATTATCACAATGCAGACAAGAAACTCAGATGTGAAATTCCAGCAGAGAAGTAGTGCAAATGATTGTTCAGTTGAGTAATTACAATGAATAGTAACAGTACAAATGACTGTGCAGCAGCAGGTGTGCAAACTCTTGTGATTTTTGTAAACACTTATTGTGAATTTTGGGCGTGGTGCCTGTTGTGGAGTCTGACAGCTGCTGGGAGGAAGGATCTGCGATAACGCTCCTTTGTGCACCTCGGATGCAGCAGTCTGTCACTGAAGGAGCTCTCCAGTTCAACCACAGCTTCGTGCATGGGGCGGGAGACGTTGTTCATCAATGATGTCATTTTAGTCAGAGTTCTTCTGTCTCCCACCACCTGCGCTGTGTCAAGGGGGCATCCCAGCTCAGAGCTGGCCTTCCTGATGAGCTTATCTAACCGCTTCCTCTCAGCTGCAGATAAGCTGCCGCTCCAGCTAACCAGAAGGTGACTGATGCCACCACAGAGTCAAAAAATGTCTTCAGGAGCTCTCCCTGCACTCCAAAAGACCTCAGCCTCCTCAGCAGGTAGAGTCTGCTAAAACATGCAGGGCTGTGGCCCTCGAGGACCAGAATTGATTATCCCTGCCCTACAGGCTACTATAATGACCACAATGTAGACATTAGGTGAAAAATCTGGATCACAGCCACCGTCTGTCTGTAAACCTTACACAAACATGTAAACAAATAGAGGTTTTATAGTAAATAATGTTCTTCCTTCACCAAGCTTTTTTATAAGCCTGAAAAACTATTTTAAAAACCGTCTCTCCTTTGGTTAGCTGTTAGCTTTTCCTGGACTAAATTTTTTTGTCTTTTTCTTCAAACTCATGCTCCATGACTGACTAAACTTTGCACAAAAAGTAATGTTTCTCTCAAAAGTAAAATTTGTGTTTGGTAGATTAATTTTTTGTAAATGCTTCTTGGCAATAAATCTTACCATTGGAAAGCCTGTTAATTTGTCTTTTAAATGGTGCCACATTTGCAAGGAGCATGCATTTTTGGGATGAGCGGTAGAGTTAAGTATGGGGGTTGAGCACATAAAAAATTTGCTAAATCTTCTTTGCCAAACAGCTGACACTTGTTTTTAGCTTCTGGTATCCCCAAGTGCTCCATTGAGCATGGGCCCTGCTACAGTGGTTGGTAGGTGCAAGAACCGGCGGCATGCCGCGGTTGACTGAGCTGGATAGGGACCGTGCGATAGGCCAACTTCAAGATGGTGTTCCGCAAAACCAGGTTGCTGTATTATTTGAAATAAGCCTTATGATCAGCTCCAAATATAAGTTCCATACGATAGGGGATCAGAGACAGGCCATGATGTAGGCGTCCCAAGAAGACGACACCCCAAGAACATGGTTCCCCTCACCTTGTCAGCACTTAGGTACCGTAGGCTGCCTTCTACAGATTTGCAGTCGAGGTTTGCAGGATATGGCCGACGGCTCTCTGCCCAGACAATCAGGAACATACTGAACGTAGCCAATGTCTGATCTCAGGGACCAGAAGGCCTGCCTTTCACCATCAGGCCTGTTTGTGCTGGCATCGGCAACACTTGCACTGGAACCCGAACATGTGGAGAAATGTTATGTTCAGAAATTAGTCTAGATTCTGCTTACAGCAGTTGGATCGTAGTGTGAAAGTGTGGAGAAGATGTGGAGAACACTGCTGATTGGTGCACCAATAAAGTGGAGGCAGTGTGATGGTATGGGGCAACATCTCCCTCTTAAAAAAATGAGGTTTGTCATCATTGGAGTTACTTTAGTGAAGTGATTTATTTCAGACATTTTGCCATAATTTTAGGCTTTGGAACACGTAGTTGACGTGAATTTCCTACATTTTCTAAAAATGGTTAATTTTAGGGATCAGGGTCAATGGTTAATTTTAGGTACTAGGATCAGGGACAGGATGTTTAAAGTGAATAAAGGTATTTTTAGGCTTTGGGGTGGTAGTTTTTGTGCATTTCCTACACTTTCAGAAATTATGACAACAGATTTCACCCCATCTCGTCAAAAAATGACGCAAGGGGAGTACCCGACGCGTCAAAATCGAACGCAGAGGGAACTTTGGAAAAGCGTCAATATGTGACGACTCAGGAGAATGGGTTGGACTGTACAGAAGGAAAAATCAATCCAGTCCTCTACATGTGACAGCCTTCTTCACTGACCAGCTGGAGTAATGAAAGTTTCATGAATATAAATTTAAATTTAAAGTTTCATCATGTTAAATGTGTTCAAGATGGACACATTGTGACTCAAAGTACATTGACTTTAGTTATGCTGGAATCACAACACTGACTTATCCATATTTTTAGTCATCCTCGCCATTACCAAATTTACAGACGTGTTTCTGTCACTGAAAAAAAAAAAACATTTTTGGACACAATTACGTTTTGAAGTGATAATTATGTTGTATAATTTTGTTTGTACAATTATCATGTTTAAACATCATATTTGTACAATACAATTCTCACATTATGTGATAGAGTTCAAAATTTTATTTATTTTTCTTTAGATGAATACAGTTCTGTAGTAAACTGTTAACAGCGGACCTAAAACAAAACAAAAAAACAAAGAAATAAAAACATAATTATGTTTATTTGATAAAAAGCAGCTGAACAACAACAACAACACAATAGTTTTAGGTGTGTTAGATATAATTAACATGAAACTGTTAATGTTAGTTTACAACAGGATGAAACTTGCTGTGATGAGAACAGTCACATATTTTAAACATTTAATGTCCAACATGGAGTAAAATGCTTTCTGACACATTGAAACAGAGACTTGAATCTGTAAAACACAGACATAAATCTAAACTACTTATCACAAAATAATTATGTAGAAAAACTAGTTTTTTTTTTACAAAACAAATCTACTGATCAATACTACAGTTTATACATATTATTGCTCATCATTGTCAGTTTAGT